AAAACAAAATATCTATCTAACTAATGCCACAATAAAATTGTGTCACATATAAATGTGGTGTCTATACGAGCATTTGCAAGTTATAGTAAAAAAAGGAGTGTGTTGTTTATACAGTCTTCTTTCTTTGGATCCTAACCAGTAATGTTCTCATTTGCGGACTGCCTATGCTTTTATCTGTCCTACCAATGTTTACTTTACTGAGGATTTTATGACTAGTCAATTTCATCTGTTACCTGGACTCACCCCCCTTGTGACCGGTAGCTCTGCTTGGCAGATTGTGCTGAACACTGATACAGTCTGTTCTGATGCAGGGGTCTTGCCCAGAGCAAAACGACTTTGTGCATTCATGTGTACCAATGGTGCTCTGAAATGTATTCCTGCTGACATTAAATTCCTCTCCGATTTGGAGAGTTGTGCTTGGAAGCCTGCAGCATACTGCGAAAAGCTCTTCTCTTGAGCTGCGAACAATCTGGAAAGGATAATTTTAGAAGAGCTACACAATTAGCAAGAAGTAATCGTTAGCGCAGAGTTTCCTTGGGGGCAATTCCTCACCTCCCCAAACAAAAAGTGTTTTCAGCATTTGGATTTCAGCTGTCTTTATTTCCCGGGAAGGGTTTGTATGGCTTCAGTTCTCAAACCATTTAACTCCAGAACAGCCTCAGCCATGTTTTTGGCGGTGGTTGGGAATAAAAACTATAAAAGGATCTCGGAAATGACAGCCTAAGGGAGACACACTGACTAATCCTGGCCCTCCATGCTCACATAGGCTTGCAGCTGCAATGGAAGGATCATCCAGACTCCCTTTTGTTCCATGTTTCTAGGCACAGAACTGTACTTCAAAGTGCTGTATCCAAGAACTTTATTCCACTTGGCACTTTCCCCATGTAAACCTGCTCCTTACTGCTGAATCGGAGCAAATGCGTGGAGAAGCAGATTTTATTTATTTATTATTATTAGAATTTATATACCACCCTATACCCGGGGGTCTCAGGGCGGTTCACAGTATAAAATCAAGCTACAAAACCACAAAATACCGTATTTTTTGCTCCATAAGATGCACTTTTCCCCTCTTAAAATCTAAGGGGAAATGTCTGTGCATCTTATGGAGCGAATGTGTGGTCCCTGGGGCTGGGGGGGGGAACCGGGCTTCCCCCGCCAGCCCCGACAAGCTCTGGGAGCAGCGGGAAGGCTGTGCGCAGCCTTTCCACTGTTCCCCGAACTGCTCTTTGAGGCTGGCGGTGGCTTTCCCCAAAGAGCAGGTCGGGGAGCAGCAGAAAGGGCTGGCAGTGGGGGAAGCTCGGCTTTTCTCACCGCCAACCCCACAAGCTCGGAAGGCTCCCCGATCTGCTCTTTGGGTCGAGCAACTCTGGGGTAGCCCGGGAAGCCTCTGCAGGGCAGCGGGGAGCCTTCATCCTGCTGCCCTGGGGAGGCTTCGCGCGGCTAACCCTGGCTTTTGCGGGAGGTGGGGGAAGGGACAGAGCGAGGCTCTCTCACTTCCCCCACCTCCCGCAAAAGCCCCCAAGAGCCGCATATTTTTTTTCTTTAAACCCCCCCCCCAAAGTAGGTGCGCCTTATGGTCAGGTGCACCTTATGGAGCGAGAAATGCGGTACATAGTTAAAATAAAAACAACAACCCAATAGCCCTCCCCCCCAGAAACACATTTTAAAAGGCATAGGATGTCAGTCAAATGAAGCAAGGAATATTTTTGCCTGGTGCCTAAACATATGTCATGAAGTCACCAGGCTAACTTCCCTGGGGAGAGCATTCCACAGATGGGGAGCCACTGCAGAGAAGGTCTGTTCTTGTGTTGCCACCCTCCAAACCTCTCGAGGCACACAAAGGAGGGCCTCAGAAGATGATCTCAGGGTCCGGGTAGGTTCATATGGAAAGAGGTGTTCCTTGAGGTATTGTGGTCCTGAGCCATTTAGGACTGTGCGGCTGCCCCCCCCCCCCAATCTGGCCACACTCTTTAGATATCTATCACTGGCATCGACATCTGCATACAAAAAGCCTACACTTCAGCAGATACTCTCTTGTAGCCTTGATTCCCCACAATCAGAAGCCCTGCATAATAGGGGCTTCCTATTGTCTGTGAGCATGTATGTGATCTGGTGCTTATGCACCAGCTTTCCATATGCAGAAATCTACGTACACTGATGCATAGACATCCAGAGTACACCCCCAGCTGGACGATGGGGGAAGGCCATAATCACATTCCAGCTATCACAACACATGTAGCTTAGACAACTGAACAGGGCTAATATCTGTGCTTAAAACTTTGAGTCTGCTTATATATAAAAAATGCCATATGTTTTTCTACTCAGAAAATTGCCTTTTGCAAATCCAGCATCATAATATTTTTTCCCATTTGCACCTAGCCATGAGTTATGAGATCTTAGCATGATAGCTATGTGTATGTCAAACAAGAGCTCAAATTACATCAGAAAGTTTCTTTGGAGGCCTAAATTGGTGGTAATCTCCTGAAAACACATGAAATTGCTTTTGAGTGGCCAAATTTACTACTCTTTTAGTTATACACACACCTCTAGCAGGATACGACTAAGGTAGAAGTTGCTCTCGTCTCTTTTTATGACTCCATTTCCTAAGGAAGTCATCTTCCATAATTGTTTATTGAATGACCCCAGAATATTTTGTGCACTGATGAGCTGCTCCACACATTCATTATTGGCTTCCAAAAAATCCCACTTTCATGTGGCTATTCCTGATTTATTTCTCTAGGTGCCATCTATTTTATTCTCTCCCTGTGTCATCAAAGCCACACAGGAAATAGCTCTTCAAAAATGACATTTTCTATTCGAGAAGAAATTGCATAATTCTTCTTCTTCTTCTTCTTCTTCTTCTTCTTCTTCTTCTTCTTCTTCTTCTTCTTCTTCATCTTCTCATTTCATTTTAAATACCATCTCAGGAATTCTTCAGTCAGGTAAAGATATACTGTAAGGGCCTTGGACTGCGATACACAAACAAAATAAGCAATAGGAAACATATCACTAGCACTAGGAGGAAATTGTATGCTAAGAGGATTGGTCTGGAGCAAAGGACAAGAAGGTACAGGAGCTGGCTAGGCTGAGGATTGGAACACTGGTAACCGAATAGCATCCTTCACCACACCTGAGGGCAGCTAGCTAGCTTAAAGAGTACATGAAGGCTGTGTAGCACACACATACAACTTCGCTCCATCCATCACCTCACCAACACTGCCTCATTCTATCTAATGGTAAGGCAGGCCCTGTATACTAAGAACACAAGTCTACATAAACATCCTAATAGTTAGGCACAGTGATCCACACGCTGAAGACTTTGCAGTGGTGGTGGTTGGGGTGGAGACCAACAAGATCTTATTTGGAGACCTCCTGGTCAGAGTCCCCCCCCCCAAAAAAAAATCCAACCCTTTATTTCACTGCAGGAAGGGAGCTTGGTGAGTTCCTTGATTTGGGAAGGACTCCTCTCCTAACTGGCTCTCCTCTTTCCCCATAAGCACAGGAACATAGGCAGATGCCTGAGAAACATCACTGGTCCATTTAGCTAAGGACTGTTTACACCAACTGGAAACAGCTTTCCAGGGATTCAGAAGAGGATAATTTCTCAGCCTTACCTGAAGGTGCTGGGGATTGAACCATGGACTCTTGCATTGCAAAGCTGATGAGCGATGGCCCCATCCCCTATGGATGTCCTCCTGCCCCAGTTTAACCTGGTCCCTCTTCCCTATATTATCAGCAGACCATCCTGTATCTCCTTGATTCCAAGCCTTGTTACATCACTGTTTCCTGAAGCTTCAAATGCTGTTTAGAAATCTGTCTCTGCTATGGTAATGATGAGTAATAGCTTGTCTTGGCTGAGGAGCTGGTCTCTCCCCCTCTCAGCCACCCCTCTCCTTTGTGTGCTGCTGAACAGCCATGAATCCTGGTCTTGGATAGTTTGGCTAGACTTGGTGAGATGTGGAAACTAACATCAAGTGCCACCAGCCCCTCACTGGATAGAGAAACTGGGGATATATTTCACCAGAATGTCTCTTAAGGAGATCTCACTATTAGAAGTCATACATTGCTTCTTTATTTTTATTTTTTTCTAACATTGCCTGGTGACAATTTTGCATTCATAGCAGTACCCTGAACCTAGCGTCATTCCTGGACATTGTGCAGGAAATAGCAGCTGCCAGTAAAAAAAAATAGTGGTGGAGAATATTAGGATAAAATTCTGCAAAATAGACTTCTTCTTTTTAGGGGGTTGATAAACAAGAAAAACCTTGGGGAAATGTCTTCAGAGATATTTTATCTCAATACTAGACTGTAGACTGTGTATTTTTAAAAGGCAATCCAAGTACTGCATTTAGGCTCACTAGTTTGTATTAGATATAGGCTTAGAGTATCAAAAAAGGTCCAAGAAAGAGCCAGTTTGTAAAGCTAAATGTATCTGAAATTTGCTTACATTTTGTTTAATTTAGAATGTGAAACTCTGAGTGCAAAATTCAAAACTACATTTTGTTTTTGTTTTTTAAATAGTATTTATTAAATTTTGAAGGGTTACAAAAAGAAAAAATTAAAAAAACAGCATATTAAAGAGATACAAAACATCACATCACAATAATAAAAAAGAAAAAAGAGAAAAAAGAGAAAAGAAAAAAGAGGAGAAAAAAATACAATGAATCTTCCCATAACTAATCTTTCATTTGCTTATTTCCTTGACCTCCTCACACCTCCCTTTTTTGTATTCTAGTTCAGTTAGCTATTTCAGCAAGTCCTTTCCATCTTTTCCAGTTTTTGTCCTCTATTTTATCTTAATATAATGTAACTTTACTTTCCCTCCTTCACCATTTAGCAATCTATTTTTTTCTTAATCCTTTATAGCATTTCTGCTAAAACCACATTATTTCATTCCAACATCCTTCTAACATTCCTTAATTTTACAATGTTTCTGTAAATAAACTTTAAATTTCTTCCAATCTTCTTCCACCAACTCTTCTCCCTGGTCTCGGATTCTGCCAGTCTCAAAACTATATTTTGAATGAGAACTTTTACTTTGGACTTGCCTGGGAGGCACCAGAGATGGCTTCTTCTAGCTGTTGATGGAAAAGATTATCAGATATTAAGTGTCATTGCATGCCATCCATCAAAAGCTGTCAGTTATGAAATGCCATTAAAGTCAATTAACAAGTACAATCAAATACCAAATACAATTGCATGTTAACTATCAAATAAGGTCAAGTTCTAAATGTCATTTAATACCAGCCATCAAATATTGTCAAGTGTGAAATATCATTGTGCGTCATTTGCGGGGCAAGGCTGAATGGAAGACAAAAGCACATGTTGTTAAATAGGCCATAGCTTGATTCTGGGCTTTTGCATTAAGATAAAGGTAGGTAAAGATGGATTAGCAAGTCAAATAGCCATAACAGGTAGCCAACAAACAAATTCTGCTCTGGTTCTTAGGACAGCATCATCTGCATCTTAGAACTTCCGGCTCCCCAGTACCACCTCAACACCAGTGGCGGAACAACATGCTGCAGCCCCCAGATCGGAGAACAGGTGGGGGTGTGGCGCGTGAGAAGCGTGGCAGGGGTATGGCACGTGCCGTGGGAGCGTGGAGCGCCGCCCGCAGGGGTGTCCCGGGGTTGCATGGCATGGCATGTGCTGTGCGTCCCGGGAGGGTGCGGCATGCATCCCAGGGGCAGTGGCAGCGATGGCACCCTTTCCCCAAATGGTACCCGGTGTGGTGCGCTCCCCCACCCCCCTGTATGCCAGTGCTCAACACATTAATGTATTTTCATTGGCCTAAGGGGATAGCTGTGTACTAGCCTCAGAAAATACCGTATTTTTTGCTCTATAAGACTCACTCCCCCCCCCTAAAAAGTAAGGGGAAATGCGTGTGCGTCTTATGGAGCAAATGCAGGCTGCGCAGCTATCCCAGAAGCCAGAACAGCAAGAGGGATCGCTGCTTTTGCTGTGCAGCAATCCCTATTGTTGTTCTGGCTTCTGAGATTCAGAATATATTTTTTCTTGTTTTCCTCCTCCAAAAACTAGGTGCGTCTTATGGTCTGCTGCGTCTTATAGAGCGAAAAATACGGTAGTTCTGGAGCATAGCATGGGGCTTGGGCTGCTGGGGTGATTGCCCCAGGCACATTTGGGTGGGGACGCTGCTCACACTGCCCTCCCCGAGCCAGCCCTGTACTGCTTTGTGAGGGCGGCATGAGAAGGATGCCATACACCCTTCGAACCCAACCCCTCAAGGGTGAGGCTGGGATTATTCCAGCCTCACAAAGCAGCTCGGGGCTGGTGTTGTTTTGGCGGCGAAGGCTGGGTTGGTGTGTGACGGGCTTTGTTTACCCTCTGTGCCCCCTCCTGCAAGTACACCTCAGGAAGCAGGACAGCACACTCCGTCGCTAAGAGAATTATAAACTTGTGAACGTAGGAAGCTGCTTAGTTTCAGTAAGGTCATTGATCCATCTAGCAATCATAATCATAATCATAATTATTTATACCCTGCCCATCTGACTGGGTTTCCCCAGCCACTCTGGGCAGCTCCCAACAGAATGTTAGAAATGTGATAAAGCATCAAACATGAAAAAGTTCCCTAAACATGGCTGCCTTCAGATGTCTTCTAAAAGTCAGATAGTTGTTTATTTCCTTAACATCTGATGGGAAGGCATTCTACAGGCGGGTTTCACTACCAAGAAGGCCCTCTGCCTAGTTTCCTGTACCCTCACTTCTCTCAGTGAGGGACCTGCCAGAAGGCCCTCAGAGCTGGACCTCAGTGTCCGGGCTGAACGATGGGGAGATGCTCCTTCAGGTATATTGAGCCGAGGGCCGTTTAGGGCTTTAAAGCTCAGCACCAACATTTTGAACTGTACTTGGAAACGTACTGAGAGCCAATGTAGGTATTTCAGGTCTGGCGTTATATGGTCTCGGTGGCCACTCCCAGTCACCAGTCTAGCTGCCACATTCTAGACTAGTTGTAGTTTCTGGGTCAGTATTGTCAACACTGCCAGGAAGTGACTCTCCAGGGTTTCATACATGCCCAAATCTACCTGGAGATCTTGGGGATTGAACCTGGAGCCTTCCATATTCAAAGCAGATGCACTACCGCTGAGCTACAACCCCCCCCGCCCCATTATTGAAGTCATTCCGGAGCTTCATCCCACCTGTTTTGGTTCTGCATTCTGACTTAGCTGCTTTCATATCCAAATTTAAATCTATTTAATTCACACACACATACTTCGTTTCCTAACCTAGACTGTATCCATGCCCAGGCTGTGACTGAACACATAACAGTATTCCCAGCAGCCAAACATTAAGAACAGAATCAGTGAGAATTTGATCCCTTCCCCCATAGTGCACTTGGCAAGCTCAAAGTGGCGAGAGCTGCAACCTGTCACCACATCAATGAGCCCATTGTGGCTTGCCTGTAAAGAATCCTACTGAGCTCTGACAGTCAGCAGTGACTGCCAAGGTCTGCCAGGCCATGTTTCAGAGTAGGAGTGAGGGGAAGAGCCAAGGACCCCACTTGATCAGGGGCAAAGAAGGAAGGAAGGCAGATAATAGAAGGAATGCTGTGGCAGGGGTGCTGACAGGTTTCAAGGCACCTGAGAAAGATGCCCACTGAGGGAGCTACCACCACTATTCCATTTTCTCCTCCTTCCATTTATCATCTGGGGGAATGAATGAGTTCCTTTTCTTTTTGATAAGTGAAAAGGAGAGAGGATCAGTGTGTTTGTCCCCACCCCTCACCTGCTGCACAAACAGCTATAGATCCCAGGCGGTTATAAGAAATAATCTTGCCCTGGTCGCTCTCCTTGTTTTGTTCCAAGTATTATAGCTGAATTTTTGATTATTTGCTTACACATGCAGCCAGTTAATTAGGGAGGGCATAGCAAATAGCCAGTTGTAATTGGCTTACTTCTTGGGTTTTAAATTTAGCCACCCAAAGACGTGACAATTCAGTGAGAAGAGAGCCAGGGAAAGCCAAATTAATCGTATTTATTACCATGAAACAAAACAATTCGAGACCCAAGTGGTCCATTAGGACATTAACAGCATGCTCCCCATTGTCATTTAGTACGTCACCTTGTTAACAGTAATCATCCGTATGAAAAATATGTTATAAATAATTCTCATCTTTATCCTAGAACCACAGAGGAATTAGCATATGCTATCAGACCAATGGCTCAATATTTCACTGTGCGTTTTTCTTAATGCTTCTCAAAGTACATTGAGGGTCTCCATGAAAGATGAAGAAAGTACTTTGGGATAAGTTGGGAGGAAATAATTAAAACCTTGGGGACAATTTACACATTCTACACAAATGCAAGCTGTTAAAAAGAAAAATAGTTATGAAAGACAGGGCTGTGAGAGTGAGGAGATTACTGATCCTTTCCCAATTCATTGGTTTTCTGAGTCAAAGTGTAGCTCCCACTATCTTTAGCCCCATCCTGAGGGATTCAGAATTACAGATATTGGATAATTTTGATTGATATGTGGACATAAATTTCCATATTTCTTCCATGTATGGAATGGAATCAATCAAGCCAATACAGTGGTATTCATTGTTGCTTTCAATCTGCAAATAATAATAAATTGATTACTGTCCCCCCTCCCCCACACACATTTGCAATGTGCTTCCTTTGCTTTGAAATGAATGGGGTGGAATAATATAATGACAAATTTACATAATAAATTATAAATTTACAATATATGGTTTTTGTCACAATCCGGTTTCTTTAGCTGAGAATGGACATCACTTCGCTTATGCCCAGGGCTGGATTTAGGTTTAATGAGGCCCTAAGCTACTGAAGGTAATGGGGCCCTTTATATGTCCAGTTGTCCTTTGTCAACAACAAATTGTTGTGGTTTTTTGTGTTGAATATATGCTATATGGTACCCTATATATAGAAATGAGCAAACCAGTGATATTTTAGGGAGCAGGCTAGCAGGCAGGGCCATTTCTTACATCATCGGAGCCTACACAACACAAAACACTGTTGCTGTATGTAGGTTTTATTTTATTTGTTTTTTATCTTATATTTTGGAAATCATAGAATCATAGAATCATAGAGTTGGAAGAAACCACAAGGGCCATCGAGTCCAACCCCCTGCCAAGCAGGAAACACCATCAGAGCACTCCTGACATATGGTTGTCAAGCCTCTGCTTAAAGACCTCCAAAGAAGGAGACTCCACCACACTCCTTGGCAGCAAATTGCACTGTCGAACAGCTCTTACTGTCAGGAAGTTCTTCCTAATGTTTAGGTGGAATCTTCTTTCTTGTAGTTTGGATCCATTGCTCCGTGTCTGCTTCTCCGGAGCAGCAGAAAACAACCTTTCTCCCTCCTCTATGTGACATCCTTTTATATATTTGAACATGGCTATCATATCACCCCTTAACCTCCTCTTCTCCAGGCTAAACATGCCCAGCTCCCTTAGCCGTTCCTCATAAGGCATCGTTTCCAGGCCTTTGACCATTTTGGTTGCCCTCCTCTGGACATGTTCCAGTTTGTCAGTGTCCTTCTTGAACTGTGGTGCCCAGAACTGGACACAGTACTCCAGGTGAGGTCTGACCAGAGCAGAATACAGTGGCACTATTACTTCCCTTGATCTAGATGCTATACTCCTATTGATGCAGCCCCAGAATTGCATTGGCTTTTTTAGCTGCCGTGTCACACTGTTGGCTCATGTCAAGTTTGTGGTCAACCAAGACTCCTAGATCCTTTTCACATGTACTGCTCTCAAGCCAGGTGTCCCATCTTGTATTTGTGCCTCTCATTTTTTTTGCCCAAGTGCAATACTTTACATTTCTCCCTGTTAAAATTCATCTTGTTTGTTTTGGCCCAGTTCTCTAATCTGTCAAGGTCGTTTTGAAGTGTGATCCTGTCCTCTGGGGTGTTAGCCACCCCTCCCAGTTTGGTGTCATCTGCAAATTTGATCAGGATGTACATCTAGTTTTTTTCCTTTTAAATTTTTTTAGGGTCCCCAAGAGAGGGGGGCCCTAAGCTATACCTTGTTTATCTTATACATAAATCCAGCACTGCTTATGCCAAGATTTGGTCAGCCAGCCCTGCAGTGTCTGGGTGTGTGTGCTCCTGCTAAATTCACTGTGTGGGTCCCTGATGGCATGGCACCATTGACCTGAATGAGGAAAATGGCCCTTTCCCTTGACAGGCTTGCAGGGAATCTCATTAATATGCAGGTACATTCTAGCATACAGCAGTGGTATAGCATGGGTTGCCAGTGGCCGGGGCAAGGCAAGTATTGTGTCCTTCTAACCCATGGTTCCTGTCAGGGCTGGGTGGTGGCCTCTCAGCAAAATATTAAAAACAGAATTAAAAAAAAAAGACATCTTATGCACAGTTACCTAGAATTAAGCTTCTCTGAACATTGTAGGGGCAGAATTTTGTTTGTTGTTTCATTCCATTGGTGTCATTGGGGTGAGTTTGTCATGTATCACTCCCTTGCTTTTGCCAAGGTTAATGTCCCATGGCTGGAGACTTACTCTTGCTCTCTAATGGAACATGATCTCAGGGATTGAATAAAACATGGACTTCTTGGTTGAGATGCTTTTTAGTTGAAGTTAGCAGAACCAGTGTCAACGCCACTGCCCCTCCCAATGATGAAAACTTTCCCCTACATTTGTTACAATTCATAACTCAGGAGGGAAATCTGTCTTAGATTTATTGGCCGGTGTTATCTGTTCCTTGTAAAACTGATGGCATGGAAGCACATACCCGATGCCAAAGAATATTCTTTCTGAGTTCCCGTTTTGCATGCACTGGCTGAATCCCGATAAATCCTAATTAGCCAAAATTAGAAAACATTTCTACTGTGCAGCAAGAAGTGGAACAAATTTGAACAGAAGTATTAAAAACATAAGCTGCTTATGGCCACAGGATCCCACAGTCTTAAGGTAGAGAAAGAGAGAGATGTCTGAAAGTTTGAGGATTGCTTTTTCTTAAAGCAGAAACTGTAATCAAAGGCCTTCACGGAGGGTTCTGATGAGTTCCTGGGAACTTTATAAATCAGGCATGTAGACTTATCTTGTATTAACTGTAGAGTCCCAGTGCCAGGATACATTAATGTCATCCTATGTCTGGAATTGGTTCTGCTGATCCAAACCAGGTAGAAGCTAGGCTTTTGTTTTGTTTTCCCCATCTCCCCCCTTTTTTTCATCACTAGGTTTCATTTACAACGGATGCACATTACTTATTTCATACATGCCTTGTTCATGTGTTTAGCTATACCTGAAAATCATAATATGCTGGTACATCCTAGCACAGTGTTCTTTGATGATCAGATGTGTTGTGCCTTTGATTTATGAACATTAGAAATGTTATCATTGAATAGCACAAAACTACTTAATCAGCAGCTTACCAGTTTTCTCTCTGTGTCTTGTGATTGCAGGTATCAGCAGAATTGGTATGTAATCCTGATATGTGTCATCCAGCAATCATCGAGCGCTTGCTAAGCAAGTGTAGTGGGACACGAGTGGCGCTGTGGTCTAAACCACTGAGCCTCTTGGAGCTCACCCCATCGCAGGGATTTGAACCATCGACCTTCTGACCGGCAAGCCTAAGAGGCTCAGTATAGCTATCATCCACCTAGTAACAGTGACTAGGTTGGACTTGGCCCAGCATTGGAAATATCATTGCCATTGTACTCCAAAGTGATGGTGGAAGAAGATATGACAGTCAGCAGCTGCAGAAAAAGTTATGACGTGTAACAGACAACTTAGAAGGGTTAAAGTCTAAATCATCATTCTCCGTTATTTGGTTTCCATTTATAGACCTTTCAAGTGTCTCTATTTTCCAGGGACAGTCTTGGATTTACAGAAGCTGTTCTGGTTTCTGATTTGATTCCAGAATCTCCCGCTTTTCCTTAGGACGTCCCTATTTTCATCGGAAAAATGTTGGAGGGTATGGAGTTATCCGGCCCCCAAGCCAAGGAAATAAGGATCTATACAACCTTTAGAAGGCATCTGAAGACAGCACTGTATAGGGACGTTTTTAAATGTTTTATTGTGTTTTTTAATATGTTGGAAGCTGCCCAGAGTGGCTGGGAAAACCCAGTCAGATGGGCAAGGTATTAATAAAAACATTGATGTTGAATACGATGCCCCTGTTCATCAGATAAATGTTGGAGGGTATGCATTTGTCAAATTTCTTTTGTGACTAAAGGGAGCAGTCCTTCCCCTAGATCTTCATTGTCAATTACTGTTTGCTATTATACCTAAACATGTGTTTTTTATTACATTAAATGATATTTGTTAGCCTTCCATTTTGCTATTTCTACATCTTCTCTGTGATTGTTTGGATTTTTCCTACTTTCTGTGCATTTACAGTCTCATAGCTCCATGGAGGGCTTGTAGAATCATATTGTATTTGAACTGTGTAGTGGCAAGGAGCCACCTGATATCCACTTTGGGTGACTGGAAGACCTGTTTCTGAAGGCAATAAAGAAACTCTTGCAAGACGAGAGGCAGATTTTATGACTCAGAAATAAGTCTCAGTGATTTAAATTAAGTTTACTCCCAGTTAAGCAAATGTGTATAGATTTAGAACACTGATGTATATATTTAATTAGCATAATTTTATGCACTGGTGGATATAGGGTGATATCTAATATCAGTGATACTCAAATCAGAACCATTGAAATCCTAGTGCAACTACTCTGGGTACTTCTTAGATGGATATCTAGTAGGTTCTTAGCAGACCTTGGGCTCTCATTGGAATGCCATAAGATGGTAAGCCTTGTTGGCTTCTTTTGTGCTCATAGCATAAGCAATGCTCCTTGAACTTCCAATGCTTATTCTGCTGCTGCTGAAATACATTGTTCACATCTGCTTTGTTTAAGAATCAATTGTCCTTTACAAACCATTCCCATTCATCATAATGTTATCTCCTCTAGCATCTGATTCCATCAACATTCAGCCAATGTAGAAAATAACTGTTGTTTATTTTTCAGATATCTCTGGGACATGCACGGTTTCTTTGAGAGCATCTACTACATGACTAAGCTGCACATCTGTTTTGAACAGATTGGGGGGGGGGGACAGGACCAAAGTGTTGCTGCTAACGTCGCCACATTTGAATTTCAAAATGAAATTGGTTGCAAATTGATTAGCTTGGCTTTCTTTTCCTCTGATGGCTATTGTCTGATTTCTACTTAGGGTCCCCAGGATCCTCTGAGCCTCAGGTTGTGTTTTAGTTTCAGAGACCACCTGGGGGTACTCTTTCCACTAGGGCATGGGGAGCCCTTTCCAGTTCATTCCCTGCATACTACTAATAAGGACCACCACCCCCCAGTCTGCTGTTCTCCTACTCTCTTTCATGGTTTGCCACAGGGCTGACCAATCCAAACCTGGTGTGGAAATGTGGCAGTCTCCCATACTGTTAATGTTTAGACTTCAGTTGAAGACATACTTGTTCACCTGGGCTTCCCTAGTATGAGAGGCTGCTGGTCAAGAACTGTTTGAGTTGATCACTCAGAAGTAGTCATTGTGAAGTTATCTGCCACCTGGCCCTTTATTCCACCAATATCTGTTCATGTCACTCAGTCCTCGCCTGGTGCCTGACTGGCTCCTAAGCCCCTCCTTTCCATTCTCAACAAAGATCAAATGTCCATAGCCATTCCTACATCAATTAGCCCCATTGACCTGGATAAGACTGCTCTATGGTAAATGATTGAAGACCAAGGCCACAAACATCTGATGAACGAAATAGAGGGCTGACATTTCAGGTTAATAATATTGTGCTGAGCGAACACCTGTGAGGGAGACCCATTACATTCATTTTGATGGGTCGCAGAAAACGCCTTCCCGTGTTTTATTGTAGCTGCACTGAAGCGAAGTATAGAGCAAAAGTGACACAGCTAAATCTCTTGGACAGTAAACAAGCAAAGGCTATTGGTTACCCTCCAGCAGTCATCAAACTGCACTGAAACTAGCAGAAGTTTTGCAACTGACTAAAGCAAGGGTAGGGAACCCAACTGGGCCTCACCAAGATTCTCTGTCTTGCCCCCATGCCACACCCCTCTCTAGCTCTTCTTTACACCCTCCTTGAGTGTTTTTTGCTTGGCTGAAATGTGTCCTTCAACTCTGGTTCCTAACTGACATCTACATATTTACCTGCAGTTCAAATGGGGACAGTCCCTAATGGATGTGACTGGGTTAAAATGAGCATTGTATTATGGGCTGCCTTGGGGGAAATCTTTGCTAGTTTGCATTTCTTAGTGCAGGAAGTATTGCTCTAATGTGTAGATATCTTTTCTATTCTAATTCATTCAAGAGGTTTCTGGAAGTTTCTGGAAGCTTCTCTGTATGGTAGAAGCTTCATGATTGTTTGGGTTATACTTTCAGAGAAGCTGAGTACAGCTGGCTTAAACTGGTTCTCTTATCTCTTCCAATTAATGTCATGCTAACTATAAATATAGGCCAGAAGAAGCCTGGGTTTTACTTTCTTTTCTATCTCTCTTTCTTCTGGTGTGGTGCTCTGTAGATAGTATGCTTAGTCACACATTAATGAAGCTGTCTCCACAACAGATAATGTACATCCTCATGAACAGATAATGAACACTATTCATTGCTTTCACCATCACATTATCTGCGTCATCAGGTGAAAGTGACTGAAATCAGCACAGAACATCATATGCCTAAAGCTTTGTGACTCAAATAGCAACCCTCCTGTCAAGGGAAGACTGGAGTGACTTCATCCATCAAGTGGGAGACAAATCCTTACCAGTGGGAAAATGATGCTCCCATTTCTCCAGGCAGAAAAGACTTAGCTCTGGCATCAGAAAACAATTCACTACCTGGAAAATAAAATGTATCCTCAACTTAGGAAGAAGTAGTATGGCACTTCAATGTGTTTTGTTAAACCCATCTGCAGTTTATCGAGATGTACTCCGACCCACATGACAGTTAGGCTAATGAGATCTTGCATCTGAGTGAACATTTGCTGTTAAGCTGTTTTGAAATTTAAATTAAGTACCAAATTCAATCTCTCTGCCTCCTCCTGTCTTCCGTTGTTTATGAGCTCATGGCAATTTCCTGAAAACGGCTATGCTATGTCTGGGCGTTAGCTCCCATAATGATGATATTCTTTTATCATCAACAAGGCTATGGGAATGGAACAGAGAAGGAGAGAACGAATCCTCATTCATGTGGTAAGAGGTGAAAGAACTAAATTTTTTAAAAAAAATGGCAGAAGGGATTTCTGAGTTAACAGATTCAGAACCCAATTTGTGGGGAATTTGTGATCCTTGTGCAGTTGGGAGCTTAGCAGATAACTGGGACACCCTGCAGAGATTTAGCTTTTGATGACTCCTTCGACACTAGAAGAGGAGGTGGGAGCATGCTGCTAAACTCCTTGTGGTTGCCTTCCCTCAATCAGATGTTAATTAGGTAAAGCTCTCCAGGAAAAAAAACCAAGATTCTGTGTATTGGGACTTAGCACTTCATAAGCTTGTGGCTTACTGTGTTTTTAAAGAAGATAAATCCATTTTCTAAAACAGAAAAGAAGCATTGAAGAACTCACATATGCCTCATCTTTCTTATTAGATCTAGAGCAGGGGTAGCTAACAGTTGTGCCCTCATTGCAAGATGTGAGGTTACAGGAACCAAGCAGAGGGCTGTCTCAGTAGTCACATCTGCCCTGTAAAACACCATCCCATTAGAGATCAAGGAAATCAACTGACTTTTAGAAGACATCTGAAGGCAGTCCTGTATAGGGAAGCTATAAATGCGTGAGGTTTTTTTGTGGTTTTATAATTTGTTGGAATGTGTGATGTTTTATTGTGGTTTTATAATTTGTTGGAAGAGTGACTGGGGCAACCTAGTCATATGGGCAACATATAAATCATCATCATCATAAATTTTGGGCTGTACAAGTTCCATCAGTTCAAGCCAGCATGGCCAATGGTCTGGAATGATGGGAGTTGCAGTCCAAAACATCTGATGGGCACAACATTGGCTACCCCTGATCTACAGTGATGAAGATGCTAGCAAGTTATAACAGAAGCATCGTGTTGGCCACTGTGGCAGAGATTGTCTTATTGTGTCCCATAAAAAATAGGAGGGTTCTGATGAACACCATTACAGATTAACACCATGCCCAAAGGACTGCAGAGCTGCTGGGACTAGCTCCTGGCCCTGCTACATCCACCAACTACACATTTAACAAGTGTGAGAAAAGGCTTTGCTCATGTTCTGACATTCAGATGTTGAGTTCCTCCATTGTAAAGGTATAGCCTGGGCCAAGAACGAATGCCCCCATGCATGGAGGAGCTCCCCATTGATACATTCTCATCTCAAAGCTGTCAAAAGACGCATCTGTGGCAAGGCTAGCCTCCACAGCCCCTTCATGCATGCTTTTTAATGCCTTAAGGTGCTCATCAGCATACAGAAGGTCACAGGTTCAACCACCAAAATCTCCTGGCAGGGCCGGAAGAAGCCCCTACCAGAAATCTTGGAGATCCACTTCCAGTCAATGGAGACAAGTGGTGTGGAGACCAGAGGTCTGGGATTGAATGCAACTCTCCATATTTCTCTATATGGTCGTTGGGAGCTCTCTTCTGATCATGTCTCTCTCTCCCTTTTTAAGTTGACCTTGAACATTTTCCTGGAACTTTCTCTGTGACTATAAGAGAACCTACTGACTTTAATAAAAGAAAAGTAAACGAAAGCATAGCTTCTCAAATTCTGCATCAGTTTGCCAACTCACATCTTTTTGTGTCTTAAACCTGTGGATGCACACAGCCAGCCTTTGCAAGTGTGCACCTGGTTTTCCTACTTTTGCTCTGGGGATTTTGCTTTCTCACTGATACTGCTAAGAAGGGGTGGGTCCTTTGATGCTCTCCATCCATTCCTTGCAGTGGGACAAATGTTAATGGGGTCTTCCAAATGCAAACACTTTTATCACCATGCCAAGGTAAGAGACTACTGCTTTATGTGACAATGTTTGATGGCTTTGGTGATGTTTTATGTTCTCATCACACAAACTACTTCTCTCTCTCTTTTTTGGTCAGGCTTTGAGGATCAAGTCATTTCATTGAGCTCCAGCTATCTATTTACTTATATAGTGAAAACACACACAGCATTTCCTAAATCCGTTCAGAGAGCGCAGACTTTTTACGGGACACCTATAAATCATTCCAAGTGAGAAGGAAGCACATCAGAGGGGCATCTTATTCAGCAGGAACAGAGTGCTCCATCTAAGTACCTTGTAGGTAATTTTGGAATTGAATGTAAAGATTGATTTCTAAACTAGCTTCAGGAAAGGCAAATTGATTACAGTGGCACACACTGCAGCAAATTGGCATAATATATATGGGAAGAAAAGAGAAGGCTAAAACATCCTTTTGTGGAAGCATCCACGGGAATTACTAGGAGGGAGAAAGAGACCATTCAGAAATGCCTCCCCATCTATCAATACAAATCACCCACTTAATGTGAACCAGGCCTCCTTCACACCTCCCACAGCAATGCACGTGGTTGCTATTTTCTTGCTAATACAGAGTGAATCATATGGGTCTTTCCTACCTGAACTTCCCTTCCACTTGGCAACTATCAGGTATGAAAGAGTTACCACATTCAGATTAATCTGGCCTTTGTACACAATTCTCAGCCACATCAGACAAGAATGACTGCTACTACAACAGGTATTGAGACAATGTGACCCTCTGCATTTTGTTGGACTCCCATCACCTCCATCACCCAATGGCCAATGGAAGTTGGAGTCCAGAAACATCTGGAGGACCACAGGTTCCCTGCCCTGTCCAACATATCACTGCCAGTGGATGTTAAGGGAGTCCAGTTCATATCAAATGAAAACTGTACTGATACACACAACAGAATATCTTAGAGCAAGAAGGGGGAATATGCAGCCCTCGAGAAATTGCTGGACTATGACTCCCATAAGCCTCCACCAGCAGGGATGATGAGGGATGCAAGTCAATGTCTGGAGGACTACAGGTTCATAGCATGGACCTCCTAGATTCCATTGTGCTGAACTGGGAATGATGAGGATCCTGCACAAGGATGCCATTGCAAGAAGATAATTTGACTGCTTTCCTACCAGAGCAAAATCACAACTACACAGGTATGTGGAAAGTTTCTTCACTAGATCTATACCTTCAGGAGGATATCTGGGTTCTTTTGAGGGAGCCTGATGATACTCAGAACACCACCTGATTAAGCAGCTGTGGCAATAGTCCTTGTAAGTCCCGGAAATGCATGTATAGATCCCTCCTAATAAATTTTGTTAGTCTGGTTACATTTGTTGTTGTTGTATGGCTTCATTTGAAATTCCCGAGTGCTTCTCCTGAGCTGGAACCTTTGAGCAGATACCAGCTAGCATGAGCAAGAAATTGGGGGATGGGAAATTTTTTTGGTATTCTGCTGCACAAATGGGAAAAGAATTTGCAATATGATATAAACCTCCACCTGACTTCTTTTTACTTAATAAAATGTAATATTTTATGTAGCATAAGCATTTACCTTTAGTGATCCCCCCAGCTCATTTGCATTAGGAATAAAAGTCTCCAAACATTAACATATTCTGAATTTCCATGGGTGCTTCTTAATGGCAAGGGGATCCTCCTTTATAAGACTCCTGATTAAAATCTTCTCTGTTTGCATTGCAATTTTAAGTGTGTAATAATGTACATAACAAAAGTTATACCTAGTGACCAGTTACATGAATCCTTAGGCTACCTTTTTCTTTTGATACACACATAATTCATATTAATATAGATGTATCTCAAAGCTAGAATTGTATTTTGCCTCATGGGCTGCAGCTGGCTCTGAACGCGCTGTTCCACTTCAAAACTGGCAGCCAGAATTAATTTGGGCATCAAGTACTTGCTGATTTCAGCATTTACAGTATATATTTCTACTGCAAGAATATATTTTAATTATTAACTCTGTTTCAGCACTGGAACATGCTCTGTTCTACTTGAATCTTGCTTTTATGATGCTCACCTATTCTGCTTTCCATAGTATTTTTCTTCTTCTTCAAATAAAAATTTGCCATGTTGGATTTGACCAGTCTTCACCATCCTAGGGTCCCCAGATGTTTTGGAGTACAGCTGTTGGCTGGGACTGATGGAAGTTGTAGTCCAAACTATCTGAAAGGCACCAGAGTGAGGAAGGCTGGGCTATACTTTCTTCATGTCCTCCCATTCTTCCCCTGAAATGCTCCCTATCCCAAGGCTGCTCACCTGCTACATTCCATGAGAGTACAGTCTTTGTACCTCTGTACACAAAGAGTTGTCTTTGTCCATGGAGTTTTCTTGGCAGGGATACTGCCAAACAGGCTTGCCGGTTTCTGCTCCAGGTGGATCACGTTTGGTCAAAACTCTCCACTATGACCTATCCATCTTGAGTGGCCCTGCACGGCACAGCTCACAGCTTCTCTGAGTTATTCAAGCCCCTTTGCCATGGCAAGGCAGTGATCCATGAAGGGATGTGAAAGTAGTGATGTATGAGAGCTGGACCATAAAGAAGGTTGATTGCCGAAGAATTGATGCTTTTGAATTATGGTGCTGGAGGAGACTCTTGAGAGTCCCATGGACTGCAAGAAGATCAAGCCTATCCATTCTGAAGGAAATCAGCCCTGAGTGCTCACTGGAAGGACAGATCCTGAAGCTGAGGCTCCAATACTTTGGCCACCTCATGAGAAGAGAAGACTCCCTGGAAAAGACCCTGATGTTGGGAAAGATGGAGGGCACAAGGAGAAGGGGACAACAGATGACAAGATGGTTGGACAGTGTTCTCGAAGCTACCAGCATGAGTTTGACCAAACTGTAGGAGGCAGTAGAAGACAGGAGTGCCTGGTGTGCTCTGGTCCATGGGGTCACAAAGA